TCCCTAATTTAGCAGTGTAAGATTAGAGGGAAGGAAGCTAGTCATCACCACCCACCGCCAACTCTTAGGCTACTATTTTAACAACAAATAGTGGGATTGGCCGTCACATTATAACGCCCCCACGGCTAAGAGGGCGAGCATGTTTGGTGGGACGGGGATTCGAACTCGCGACCCTCAGAATGCGAGTCGAGCGCCCTAACCACCTGGCCATGCCGGGCCATATTTCTATTGTATCATCGATATTTCGTTTGGCTTGTTCTTTCTAATTATTTGGTGAAATAAGGCCATGTAACAATAACAAATTTATTTGTTTCTTGTTTAACGTTTCTACAAGCTGCCTTCACTTGAACACTGATGTAACTTAGGTTAAAATTAAAGAAAGTTGTTCAAATATGTAAAATATATTATAATACTCAAACAATCAACGTTGTATAATATACAGTTATGATATTTTATTCAAAACCGATCAACGGTCGTAAAAATATTTTTCATGTTTCGACGTCGTTCTCGTCATCCTATTGTAACTTGTAAGCCTAAGTAATTTTACAAATGGAGATAACTCACTAATGCTACTACGATTAAATTAAAAAATAAACTTACTCTTACATTTTCACGTTTGATCGATCGAATAATAGAATATTTCCGATAACTAACACTGATCCAAATACTTTACTAAACTGACTAATTCACTGTTAACCGATTCTCGTATTTATATGTTTGTTTGTTTGTAATTAAGCACAATGTTACACAATGGGTTATTTATGCTCTACCCACCACCGGTATCGAAATCCGGATTCTAGCATTGTAAGTCCACAGACATACCGCTGTGCCACTGGGGGGGCCGTATTTATATGATAGCCTTGTTTCTAGACACTTCGTAAAGTCTTTCAATCACTATATTTCTAAAAGTTCGATACACTCTAGGGCTAATTTAACATCTTGAACCTACTAGCTAATATCTACATAAAAACATTGAATATGTAGCTTACTACACTGTCATCTTTCTGGATTGTGAAGTAACTTTAACATTTCTAATACAAAATATAACACTACTATAAACTGTCCATTCACCAAGTCTTTTTAGAAGTTTTCTCTTCTGGCACAGATGGGATGACCTTTTGTTGCCTGTCATCTCTGGCTGTCCTGTCATTGGGAGCATTCTTTCTAGGTAGATGCTCGACTGGATCTACTGGCAGCTCCATATTTCATAATCCTCTGAAAATGATCTCGACAGGAACCCTGGGGTCCTCATTAAGTTGAGTTTCTACTGAAAATTATTCTCTGGAATTACACAATTGGCTGTTTTCTCTCCAATGTACTTCCAAAGACAATCATTGTGGATGACCTTTGGCTCAAATCGCCTATCCTTCCGATTCTATAAACTTCATGATTGATTGTTTTCAGTACAACATATGGTACTTCTTAAAACCTATTTAGCTTTGGGAGTTGTTTTTTCTTGTGGATTGGACAGCCATATCATGTTATATTGAAAGAATCCTGTCTTATCAACATTTACATAATAGCGACTTTTCATTTTTTCATTAGCAGATTTAAGCATTTTCCTCTTTTAAGGTCACGTATGACATTGATGGTATTTTGTAATATTTTTACATATTCTTTGTTAGCTAATGGTACTTTAAGTACTCTCCCAAACATCAGTGATGATGGTGTGTTGTTGTAGCTTCATGTACTGCTGTACACTAACTCAACAGTAACAATGAAAAATCTTGATCTCACTTTTTCTTATGTTCATCCACATAAATGGTTAATTGTTTTAACAATGTGTATTGTATTTCTCAAACATGCCATCAGAAGATGAACAAAGGGCTGCTGTCCTGGTCTTTTTTATCCCAGTAATCTGACACATTTCTACAAACAAAGTCAAATGTTAGTGAGAGAATAGCCAACTAGATAGTCCCATAGAAAAATTTTCGAGTGGAAACTCAACCGCTGCCAAATTGAGACCTGCCAATCAAAGTGAGGGCATTACCATACATCGACTGATAGCAGCCACGTCTTGTAGCTGTTACAAATCAGGTGACCATTGATGTTCCCCATTAATGACACACCAATCCTACCTGATGCTTCACACCTCAAGCTGCACTGATGATCACACAATTACACATACACGATCAAACAAACAATAGGTTTTCACACTCCTTTAAACTTTGTCATTTGTAACACTTCTAGTTCGGTGTCTCTTTGGTCTTCTCGTGAATAAAATATTTGTTGAAAGGGGAAAATTCGCACATTCATTTCAAGTTTTGTCACCTTTCCCTACAGGTTTCAATAAATAGGGCTCTGCTTTCTCAGAAATTTCTAGATTAACCATGCCTGGTAGCATCCCCAAGGGGAAGGAGCTGACCTTCAGTGAGAGAGTCCAACTGATCCACAAGAGTGAAGGGAAGACTCACCGTACCCTGGCACAAGAATACAAGATTGGCAGAACTCAGGTAAGCTTATTTCTTCTGTCACCTTACTGGGTTGTTTTATGAACAATCTTATTGGATGCTACTTAATTTTCATTTGGCACTGTTAAAAGTACATGTACATTTGTAATAATTTAAAATCATTAACTTGAAAATTGTATTTGCGTACAGTAAATTTAGAAAGTTACAAAAGAATGAATCATTATTAGGGATAAAGCAACTCAGTTGCCTGGTTGAAGTGCTCCACAGCTACATGAAATTTATTTTTTGTTCATAGTATTGAATATCACAAAGAAATTTAACAACAAGTAAAAATTTTAAATTAATTGATTTGTGTTTTTCAGGTTGGCTGCATCCCGAAGGGAAAAGCACCAGTTCAAGAACTCTGGCTGTACACAGATCAAAATCATCATCTTCGAGTGGTTCTCCATGATGCGGTCCCTCAACATTCCAATGTCTGGCCCAGTAATCTAGACCAAGGCCCTGGGCATTGCCAAAGCCCTGAACCAGTCTGTCTTCAAGGCATCAGGAGGTTTGCTGTCCCAGTTTAAGAGCCGATACATCATTTGGAGCAACAAGATCAGTGAAGAGAAGTCCACAGTGAGCCAGGAGATTATTAACAGCTGGCATGAGTACCTTCCTACCACCGTGGAAGGATACGACCCCAGAATCATTCTCAACATGGACGAGACTGGTGTCTTCTATCGTGCCCTACCTGACAAGACTCTAGCTGTCAAGAGAAGTGACGTGTTTGGTGAAAAGAAAATCAAGGAGCATATGATGACAGTCGTATGTGTCAACCAGCTCGGCGAGTTCGAGAAATCTCTGGTCATCGGCAAGTCCCTCAATCCCTGCTGTTTCCAGAACCTAGACACCCGCAGGTTCCCTGTCATCTGGTGTGCCAACAAGAAAGCCTGCATGACCACTGCCCTGTTTGAGTAATTGGTCAGGGACTTCAATCACTGCATATTCATCCAAGGCTGCCAAGTCATCCTGCTGCTGGACAATGCCCCATTCCACCCCAATGACCTGCAGCTCAGCAATGTAAAACTCGTATACCTGCCTACTAATACTACCTCCTGCCACTTGAACAGGGCATCAGCCACGCTATGAAGCTGCAGTACTGCTGCTGCCTCCTGCAGCATGTCATCACCAAGGCAGAGACTGACCCTGACCCCCAGGCTATCTGCAAGTCCATCGATATGCACCTTGCTGTGACCTGGCTCCAGGCTGCCATCCATGATGTCAAAGCCACCACAGTGCAGAAGTGCTTCAAGAGGACAGGCATCCCCTCCACACGGATCCCTCCCTGCAGCTGAACCCATTGAGGATGAGGACAATATCCTCCTGGCAGAGCTTCTCTGCCAGACAACCTCTACCCCGAACCTACCAGAGCCAAGTCAGCTGAGGATTACACGGCAGTGGATGACAGCTGCCCCGCCCACACCACCCTGGATAATGGATGGGAAAATTGCCTCATCCAGGAGATCACTGCAGCACCCACTGAGCCAGAGCCTGCCAGCTATGATGAGGCCAAGCCTGTTCCCTCCAGGCAGCTCACAGACGTGGAGGCCCGGGATATGTTGGCTGTCCTTTGGGTCGAGAATTACAGTCAGACCCTTGACCTCTTAATGATTACCCAGCAGCAGTTCCAACATGAGAATCTCACAAAGTGTACTTCACAGCCCACCCTGGACAGCTTTGTCAAACGTGTGAAAAAGAAATGTGATATGAACTGTGATAGGACACCTTGTGATTGTGAACTTGTTTGTGAATATGAACTGTGATAGGACACCTTGTGATTGTGAACTTGTTTGTGAATATGAACTGTGAAAGGATACTATATTTGTGATTATAAACTGTGAAAAGACACTCTTATTTGTGATCATGAATTGTGAAAGGACACGCTTATTTGTGATCATGAACTGTGAAAGGACACTGAACTTCCAGAACGATTTGTGATGATAAACCCTATTCAGAATCCCTTGTGGATATTTGTTGCAGGCTGTTGTTTTAATTTTTACAGTTGTTTGGCATAACAGTCATATTGTTGAATGAGTTTTTATTGAAATGTTTTGTTTGTGTTTTGTATGTTTAATTTTTTTTTTTAAATGTGTGTTGTTTATTTCATAAAATCACCCAGATCTGGTTTACATTACGGCAGCATCCAGGATAGGTCAGCGTGTAAACAGTTTGTGGATCACACCTTTATTGCAAAAAAAAAAAAAATACCCAACCAAACGGATGACTGCAATTTGAAACGTTTGGTTCTCAAGAGTGTGATGTTTACTGTTTCATGACTTTAAGTTGTTGAATCATTAGGCTGACAACTTTGATTGCAATTGAAAAAGGCAGGAAAGTGCATTGTAAATTCTAGTGTCATAATTTTTTATTATATTTTTGCCTGTTCAATTATATGAAAAATCCTTCTTTCAATTGAAATCATTGTGGTCAGACTGGCAATCTAATTCAAACTGATGATCTCCACTTCTGCTCTCCCACTGATACCTTAATTAATGAACGCCAGTCAGTAAAAATAGTAACTTCTTGTCATTTCCACATCTAATATTGGAGGAAATGGAAGAAAGTTGTTGTTTCGTGATTTGAGTATCATTACCGCTAGGTGTCACCACATGTGCACATAAACAACATCTTCATGCTTTGGTCTCTGATATTGTGTGTTGCAAGGAAAATTCATGAATCTCATTGTCATCCTAAGTTTGGCATTTATCTGTTAATCAAAAATACAGTATAGAATTTTATTTTTGAGACAAGAAATGTAAAATTATATATGTAAAGATGTTATTACAACATTCTGTATCAAACAAGAAAACAGAAAGGGGAGTATTATGGGCGAGTTGAAGGTGTATGTACTGTGCCTTTGAGGCCTCAGTCTGATCCCAGAGTTGACCCCATACAGTGACATCCAGTAATACGACCATCCCGCTATACGCCATTAATTACTTAGACCCACAGCTGGGGTTGGACAGTATACAGTTAAAGCACTGTCCTTTATCCTGTGCACAGTTTTCTGATTGTGTTTTGAGTGTAAATAATGATGTTTTCATTGTATATTTTATATTGTGTCCTATCTTTTCTTTCTCAAATTCGTCCAAAGTAAGAAAAATCAAAATTGCTTTATAACAGATATTTTTTAAATCTCCTTTTTCTCTGTGGACCTATATCGTTATTCTAAGGTTAATTCAGTTTTACCTGAATACACCACAATATATATAGTTAGGAATGAAGTTTGATGCGTTGACCACAGGTATCTTATTACGGAGTTTTCTGTTTTCTTCTGACATGTGTATTGTCTTTTACTACTACTCTTGTGTTATATAAGTTTAAGAAGGCTTCATAGTTAAGGAACTTGGATATTTTACAGCTTAGCAGACTTACAACCAAGACAAAGAGTCAATCACTGAGGGGAGATGGTTGTCCATGAGAGTTGTCTAATCTAGGAGAAGTTCTGTCTTGGATGCAGGACTTTTGCCAATGCTGCAAAGGTTCGTGACTTCTATTTTGCGATTACCAATAACTCAGGAATGAAAGCCGCCAATATCTGGTGCACCCAAAATGATTATCCATGCTCTTTCCCTAAGGACCAACCTTGGAAAATGTGGATGACTAAGGATTGTCATGGGGTTTGGCATCTGATGAGTCTGAAACTGGGTGGGACTGTATGCATAAGACTCTCCGACTTAGCCAACCAGAACAACCCAACTCCAGCTCTGGTCGAAGATACCTGAAACTAGCTGAGAGAGAGACTCGAGATGCTATTGGTGGGTGATGTCTTCGAACAGGAGATATCTCACCAGCAGGTAAGATTACGGACATTAAATGGTGAAGTATGTAGACCACGAAGTGGTGATCCTCTCTCAAGGTAAACTGCCAAAACAACCATGGGTCACAATGACATCAGTCAAGGATAAAGAATATTTTCTTGTATAGCATTATGCATATGGATATGTACATAATGATAATAACATCACCTTAAGATATATCGTGTTTTGTATTTTATTGTATGTATTTGTATATCACTGTACCTGTATGTTTACATACATTTAAAAGGTTTTAACTGTCAGATGAGTGCATTGTACGCAAAAGTGTTATATTCCATGTTATTACCTCCGCCACCGAAGGTGGACGAAGGTTATGTTTCACCCCTGTGTGTTTGTTTGTCAGCATGATCCTCTCAAAAACGACCAAATGGATTTGGACGAAAGTTGGCATACGTTTGGATTATGATCAAACCTAGAAGTGGTTAGTTTTTGTATGGTAAAGATCACAGCAAGGTCACGAAAATCCAAAAAATCCCTATCTTTTAACACGGGGACCGAGTTTTCAAACTATTTTTTCTTGGTAACTCAGTAAAAAATGATTGGATTTTGGTTAACTTATGTAGAATATTACTCTTCATTGCCTTGCCAAAAATGGTTTATATGTCCGTTAATAACGACGGACCTACGAACACATTTTCGTATTTTTTGAGAGCTAAAACTGATCAATGCTGCGTGGCAGAGGAATGTGCCTCTCTAGTTTTTGTTTTGTATTTCAAATTTGGCATGTTTAATCGTTGTTTGGCTAATGAAGTATATATACTTTGTAAAGGGTTAGTTTTACTTTTGTCGTATTCCAGTGTTTCATGCTCTTGTTTAAAAAGCCATATTAGTGTTGATTTATACTTGCTTTGTATGTCCTGTAAAATAATTATGAAAAATATGGTATTAATTTACAGAAACTCATAGCAAGAGTTTGGTTTTGTTATGTAAGTATGTTTTTGATCAATATATATATATTGTGGTTCACGGGTTATTTTGTTTTGAGCTTTGATTTTTTCATCATCATAGTTAAAATGGCTTTCCTTTTGTGTTATGTTTGTATCCGGTGTTAAAGGATTCCACGTATTGATTATCATTGCTAAAGATTTTCTGTGTGTGTATGCTTGCATATGTGTTAAAGGGCTTATTTTTTTATTCATCTATAGTTTATTCATTTATAGGTTTTAATTATGTAATACATTTATATGTTAAAGGATTTTCATCATGTATTGCATTTCTTCGTTAAAAAGTATATTTTTTTTGTATTTTGATATATTTCTTTGTTTAAAACTGTATTGATGAAACTTTTGCATTGCATTTTATTTATTAAAGAGTTTTGATGTCTGTGTGGAGTGTAAATGTTTCCAGGGGATGAGGAAGTTAGTGCACTCCTCAACCAAAGTGTGTATTTAAAATTTAATTGGTTTAAAGCTAGATTGATTGTCGGCTTTAGGATTAGCTTGAAGAAAAGAAGAGAGGAAAGTGTGGTATATGAATACTTCATACATTTCTATCTTCTTGTATTAGTATAATATTTATTCTGTTTATATTTATGTTTAACATAGCACGTGGCTGAGTGGTTAAGAAAGTCGTTAAGCTTATTTCGTTATAACTGCCTTTGTACCTTTGTTATTCTAAACTAGTTAATACCTGTTCTGTCTGGTAGGATACTGCTGTTATACTGCACAATGTGCCAGAATATTGACAAGAGTATCCTTTAGGTTGTTCAGATGATA